ATGTTTGTGGTTTAGTCAATCTCTGCTGGTTGGAAGCTGGGTTGACGATGATGATTTGCCAGTCATGAGTTTATTTTTTGCATGTTTATTCTGTAAAGTTATATCCTCTCTGATGCAGACTTGATTTAGCTTCCTGAGCATTAGATCCTTCCATAAACTTAAGTGCATATGTATATTATGTGGTCTGTTGCTGGTCTTCATTGATGTTCAAGCAGTTGTATTTTATCTTTAGGTTTAATCCTTCATTGGCATACTTAAAGAGCTCAGAAGGTTAGATTTCATGGTGTCTATTGGGTTCCTTTTTTGTCTGTTCAGAATGTGTCTTCTTTAGTTTCAGTTAAATTGATTGCAGCATTGAAATCTATCCTCATCTTAGGTTGTTTTGAGTTTCAGTCTGCTGGGTAGTTTTGGGTTGATTTAATGGTGAAACTAAAGTTGAATCGGCATTGTCTTTAATCTCATTTGTGAATAATGACAATTTTGATCGGTTTTGGTATCTCTGTGGGGTTGACTTTTTTGGTTTTGATTTGAATCTTTATCATGTTCTATAGGATTTGCAGTATAAACCACAAGCTTATTTAATTGTGCATTTATTTGCCAGTCAATTTGGGATTGGGGCTCTGGCTGCATTTGTCTTTCTCTTCAAGTAAAACTTGTTTCTTCTGTGCTTTATTTTTTTAGTTGTTTTTTGTAATGAATCAAACTATTCATTCTCTTTTACATCTCATAGTCACCTCATTCATTTGAAATTCTGAATAGGAGAGTCTTTCTTCTTCTAGTCTAGGGTTTGAGAGGAGGCTTTTTGTTACCTCAAGGGAGGAAAATAAAAAATAAAAAATAAATAAAATAAAACAGAAGGCACAGTCTTTAACAGAAATGAATAGGTGTATATATGACTTGTCATCTCGTTTGAATTGGTGAATTTTTGTCAATATTATGCAGTGTATTTTTTGCTTCTGCTATAAATCTTTCTGGTTTATTATGCAGTGTTATGATTCTTGTGAAGAAAGTAGAAAAGAAGTTAGAGATAGTAAAGGGAGACTGGGAGAGGGACTTTAAGCTTGGTTGTTTGAATGATTTTTCTTACCAAGATCTGACTGTCTAATTTCTTATTTGTCTGACGGCTGTTTTAGCTTAGTGAAGCAGAACTACCTGCAAAACTGTCAAGCAGAGGTTGAGATGGAAGTTGTTCCAAGAGAGGTTGATAATGCTTTGTCTGGTCCA